GGTACTATATTAGTACCTAAAAATTTTAAGAAGAACACTTTTGTACTTTTTAGGTACCAATATGTACCCTTGAGGTATTAATATGGACCTTTTGGGTACAAATTTGTACCTTTTGAAAAGGTTCCAGCCCTGTGACCGCTCGCGTACCTTTATTTCTGGGAGTGTATGATGATATTTTTAATGAGCAAATTCAAAATTAAAGTCTAAACGCATCAAAGATGGTCACAGTTATTCAAAATCAAAATAAAATGGCAAATTATCTACTATAAAATGGCACTTACTGACAGAAAACTGGTTGTGTACTTTTTATAGTGCATTATATTCCAGTGACTAAAAACAGATAACAATGCATCATAAGCTGCACTTTAGTTACGTGTCTGATTAACTTTTCTGCTTAGTAGCCACGATGGATGTATTCACCTCAGATCATGAGTGACTGATTGCCATGGAAACTTGAATTCATATATAGACTGTCTTGTCTCTTTAAATTTTTATATAATTCTGCATTGATATACTGTAGGTGATCCAAGAAAGCCTGAACATATCATGAACACAGCTGTCTAAAGAAAAAGTGTGAGGGACAAATTTAAGTAAAAAAAAAAAAAGTGTGCATCCACCATGACGTTATCCTATTATCTATGTTGTTAGTGGATTACAGGATCTGCATCTATTAGACACTGGTTAGACCCCATAATATAGAATTCAACACAAAGTGTGAATTGGGTGCTAATGAGTCTGAGTGTGCTGATAAGTGTGCGTGTGTGTGTGGTGTCAGTTGAAGCGAGACCATATGGAAGACACCACCTGGTGTGTCTGTTCGTCTTCGTCAGAGAAGAAGATCAAAGCAAGACACAACATCATCACAGAGTCAATCACAGTAATTACTCAAGTCTCTCCATTTATTCTGAAATTAGAGGGATATTTTTCACTTTGGATCGCTACACTTTGGAAAGAGTTTAGATGAGCTGTTGAAACGCCTGGCATATCTGGAATATTCCACTGGTTTAATTACTAGCACAAAATAGCTACTAAATATTTGCAGCCATTTGTGCTGGGTTTCCTTAAAGGCATCATCTGTGTTGTGTTATGCCGTCGATTACCACACAATAATAATTTCGCCCCTCAGTGTGTATAAATAAATGAGAGACGGGTTTTTAAGTTTATTACCATAATGGCAGCCTAGCAGGCAAGCGGATCCGTTGCAATAAATGTTTAATGTTTCATATTTTTTCACCAAGCAGGGCTGTACAGTTATATCCAGTTTTTAAACTAATGTCATGGGCAGCTAAAAATGTAAGCATATGAGGAATACCATGGGAAGGATGTGATGTAACTAACCTTAAAGCACTGTTTACATGTAGCCAACAGCCAAGTTTCGCAAAGTACACCCACAGGAATTACACTAGTAAGGCATAATCAGAGGTTTCTCCAGCTTCGGAATGATTTTACAGATTTCTTTCAGCATTATCACTCATACCACTGCTCAAAGATATAAAAGTTGTAAATGGCAGATAATAGATCATGCAGTGTTTATATAATGCATACAATGCTAAATAATTGTTAAAGTACGCATGAAATCAAAGCTAACCGTATTGATTTTGTTAGCTCACATTACTAGTTTTGTGGTGAATGATCCCTTGTAACCTAAAATTGAGATCTGGGGTCTGTTCTTTGTACGTGGATTACTCGGTTAGCTGGATTTGGTTATTGATGATTTAACACTATTCAGGATCGTTTTGTTCTTTAAAACTCATCTGAGAGTTGTGGTCATAGCAACAGTTCTGGTAGCTCAAACCTGCTCGGGAGCAGGCTCATGTCATATGAACAGGATTAGATTGGGTCAGTTCAAGCAAAGATAATACTGAAAGTATGTACTGAATTCTGAATTCTAAAGCTTTCCGTAATAGTAATATTTGGAGAAGTATTCAACTCATCCCCATACATTGGGAAAAAAAAATTCAAAGATGATTCCCTGGATTTACTAAATTTGTTTTAATTTAAGTGGTTGTAAACAATTTTGCAGAAATCAATTTTTTTTTTCTGTGGATAAAATCACAAATTTGAGAAAAAAGAAGCCAAATGTAAGCCAAATGAATTACTGTAGATATTACATAGAATTTGTAACATAAGGCTTAATGGAAGGACATTTATGTTTTTTGTAATGTATTGATAATCAAAATGTGTTAAAGCTCTGTAAAAATGGCGAAAAATGTTGCAAGATTGTAAAAAATGCTGAGTTCCACACAATCAATGTGTGTTGGGACAATGTAAAGAAATTAGGTTAACTTAGTTTTCACAAATTAAATTGTATTGAACTTAAAACAATTAACTTGTCCCAATAAAATCTCAAAAATTGTGTTTCAGCTTATTTTAAATAAGTAGTTTGAACAAGCAACAACAATATATATATATATATATATATATATATATATATATATATATATATATATATTTTTTTTTTTTTAAATGTGAATAATAGCAAGAAAGCTTTTGTATACGAAAAACATCTGATTTTCTTCATTAGCCACTTGTCACACAACCAGCGATCGCTTCCCAGAGGATCGCTGGTTTTCACACGAACTCTCTAAACTACATTTCCGCTTTTCCCAGGACTACACATTCATACATGCACTGCTCCCAAACACGCACGTCTGTTCATTCATCTATCCTGATTGCATCACCAGCTGAGCCTTGTTCACAGACTGATTTCATTTCATTCATAAGCCACTCATTCATGCTTCCAGTTTGCCGAGTCTTGTTTTCCCTGTGTAACATTACAACGCGTTTCCCTGTCTTGTTTCTCCGTGTCTCGATCCCAGCCTTGTACCTTTGTTATCCTGTTTAGCCGCCTGCCTTTAGACCTATTGCCTGTTATATTGACGACGATTCTGGACTGCCTTCATATACCCGTTTGCACCTGATGACCACTGCTTGCCTGACTTTGAATAAAACTGCATATTGGATCTTACCTCCTGTTTTCTCCTGTCACTCCACCCCAGTCGTGGTAACACCACTATAGCTTGATAGCAACAAAAACAACAAAACAGTGAGGAGTAAACCTATTTGCCTGCAAACCAGGGTGCATATAATTATAACATTAAAATAATGTGATAAATACCAATTAGCAATGTCAAGTGGCATAACAAACTGTTTTCCAAAGCTAAAAATAATTAATCAATTGACATCAAGCTTAGACATTGCACATGAAAGTTACAATTATGCCATAAATCATTAAGGCCACGTATAGTCTAGTGGTAAACTGCAAAATATGCTATTCATCAGCATCATTGGCATAAATAGTAACTATGCAAACCATTAAAAATGACCCTCTATTTAATATGAATATGTGTAGTTTGCATATACTTCATTCACTATGTAAATCTGATATATTTTGCCTTTTTTTAATTCAGACATAATTATTTTTACTGTATATTTTTTATATGTACTGTATGCACATGTATCATACATACAAAAATATATACCAAAATAATATGCCTTGGAATCCATATGCCTCGGAATTTTTTTTCATGTACGATTGAGTTGGATGCATTATTGAATTATATATGTAGGTATGCTTGGAATTTGTAAAATATTTATTAAGTTATTTATTCAACATTGATCTGTTTGGAGTGGAGGTATATTAGTTAAACATGGTCTACGGTGATGTTACAGTTGTGTTGTATATGTATAGTCCTGAAATAGGAGGTAGATTAGCTCCATCGGTCAAAATGGAGTGTGTATCATAACTACCTTGTCAAAACTACCTTTGTCCACTTCATGAAGTGGAGTGCACTTCAAAACAACAACAGGGATTTCCCAGAGAGTGGAACACAACCCTGGAGTTGTTTGGTGAATGAATCAGTGTTTTTGAATGAACACTGTGTATGGATATGTGTTTATCATTAGGATTTACTTTCATGCAGACAGTATCATGAATCACTTGACTGACTACACTGTAAAAAATATAAGTAAATTAGCAGTTTTCATGTTTTTATTTTTCTCCATTAATTTATGCTTTTGAATTGCATTATGGGACCATGATCTTTCTTCCAACAACTTTTAATCTTAAAAAGTTTGAAAAAGTTTATTAAATATTTTATTAGTTTAAAGTGACTTATTGTCTGGATTGGTTTTGTATATTACAGTACAAAAACCTTGTAATAAATGGCCAGTATTTTCTGTTATTTGACAGACTTATCTCTCTCTCTATAATATTGCTTATACATTATATTATTTCAAACTACTAAAATGTCAATGAAAGTCACTTTGTTAAACTGTAGATATGAATTTTCAACATCAAAAGTCAACAGAGCAGAGATCAATGTCCCATAATGCAATTGACAACCATAAATAAAAGGAAAACACTTGCTTATCACAAAACACAGAACCTATTAACTAACAGATGTTTTGTGTTGCTGATATGCAAATTAAAGTTTATTAGGCTTAGTTTAAAATTTTCAATGATACTTTTTGAATTATGAGGATGTGTTATAATTTCTGGGATAACAAAACACACAAACAAATAACCACTTGTTACAAGTGAGGTCTGCAGAAGAGCATCTCTGAACACACAACATGTCAAATCTTGAGTTGTGCCACGAAGGATTAAGGCAGTTCTAAAGGCAAAATGGGATCCAACAGGGTACTAGTAAGGTGTGCCTAATAAAGTGGCCGATGACTGTATATCCACTAAAAGACTGTTCATGCTCAAATGAACATATTATTTTTATTAGTTATGTTCTGAAATTAATTTAAAAGCTGAATAAATAAATATAAATTTACACACATTTGCACAAATAAATTAACACTCAATGATGAGCTCAAAATCTGTAGAAATCTATGGATTTCTGTGCATGCAGATTCCGTGTATCATTAATTATTCCTAAGATGTCATTTATGCACAGTATTTCTATGGTTTAAGTAAGCTGACTCACTGTTATAAATGTTATTATCATATATATCAAATGATTATAGCATCTTTTTTTTTTTTCTTCCAGCAGCATCCATCATGAATCCCATGTCACATCTATACTACAAAAAGAGCAGCTACTCTCCGTACCGGGACCGAATCCCTCTGCAGATCGTCCGGGCGGAGGTAGAGCTCTCTCCAGAGGAGCGTGCGTTCCTTTCGGCTGTGGAAAAGGGCGACTATGCAGGAGTCCAGCATGCACTGCGTGAGGCTGAGGTCTATTACAACATCGACACGAACTGTGTGGATCCACTTGGCCGCAGTGCTCTATTAATTGCCATTGAGAACGAAAACCTAGAGGTGATGGAGCTGCTTCTGGATCATGGAGTAAACACTGGAGACGCTCTGCTCTACGCCATCCGCAAAGAAGTGGTGGGGGCCGTGGAGCTACTGCTGTCCCACAGGAAACCCAGTGGAGAGAAACAGGTCGGTTTGCGCATTGGGATTTTTGTTTTTCTGCGCTTTAGGATATGTTTACATAATGATGTACTTAACTCTTTGATGCACAAGCTATAAAATAGATAAAGAAAAAATAAACGTAGACAGGTCACTTTAGACCCATGTAGTGCATCAAAGGGTTAAAAGCAAAACAGAAATTTATTTGTGTTGCTGTAAAACAATGTTCCTTCACACACATCCATAAAAAAACTCACAACTAAAGTGTTGATACATGCATTCTAAGCCAGTAGATGGCGATGTCACTTAGTTTGGTTTATTTATAAACTAACTTGGAGAGGATCACGTGCTTATGATCAACACGGCTAGCAGCTCATTAGCTCTGTAATCTGCTCTATTAGATGATTACGGAAGCATTATAAATAACCAGAGTTTTCACTCCAGTTATCTTCATCTTAAAGACCCCCCCTACTCTCCACCCTTTTCTGATAGGGTGACACAGTGGCCCAGTGGCTAGCACTGTTCCTCACAGCAAGAACACAGCCGGTCCAACCTCCTATTGGGCCGGTCGGTGTTTCTGTGCGGAGTTTCTATGTTCTCCCCGTCTTCACGTGGGTTTCCTTCGGGTTCCCCGATTTCCTCCCACCGTCCAAAAACATACACCATAGCCAATCGACTAAACCAAATTATCACCCAAGTTTACACTTCTTACACGGCGGCAGCAGGGGAGTTCTCGAGACCTACCTGAGATCGAACACCCCTCTCACCCTTCTAATGGGAGGGAGCCCCGGGCTCGAGGATATTTCAAGTTCAGGGCTCTCTACCGGGACAGCATGCCAATTACACTTTATTAATTATCAGCTAAGTGATAACTCTTGGATGTGCAGATATCTGTTGACTAGCAAGTTTCTGCTAACAAAAACAAAACTTTATTTTAAGCCCCTGTCAGATCAGTTGTCGGTTACGAAAGTGATTATTGTGAGATTATGTGATTTTGTCTTGATAAAATCTTGACTTGTCGTGGGTAATAAATGTGGCAGACTACACGTTGCTTTAAGATCAGCCATGCCATGATGTCCATAAAGAGCGTTATTTCCAGCAACAGTCACAAGTGTTGCAATAACAATATTTATATCTTATTAATTTCAGTGCTTTTTTATCTTATGTCAATCTCAGTAAACACTCATGCTTGCTGACAACTAGGCCACATTATTTAAGGGCATTTGTTATGACATTGATAGGATCAAAGATATATTTCCTTTTTAATATATTTGAATAAGATATTTTCTTTTAAACCTTTTAAATGCACACTGGGACACTTTTTGTTTGCGTTTATCGTCAGCATTTTATGAGACGTTTTTCCGGATTCAAACCCAAGCGATTTTTACTGGCGTCAAGCAGAAGAGTATGCAAAATCACTCGTTGACGTTAGATGGCGCTACACAACTTTAAGCTTCTGACACCCCGCTTATAACAAGAAGAAAAGGAAGAGAGGAAGTTCACATGCTTGTTAAAGTTACTGGTGACTCGAACAAGCATGTATGGTTCAAGTAGCAGCTTCAGCTCTAGCGATGAAGAAATGATTATTGTTTACAGAGCAATAAACAGCTCCACGTTCGTTTCTCCTCTGAGCATCTTCTTCAATGTGCGCTCACATTGACAGTTTTGAGCTTGAGCGCCTCCAAGTGCTGTTTACTGTAACTTCAGCAGGTCTGTGCACGTGAACAAAACTGCCAATCTGATTGGAGGAGAAGGTTTTGACGTGCCGTATCAAAACAAAAAAACGAGCATGAGGCGTTTCTTTAAAAATGACGCTTTGTGCCCGCCGTTTTGCGCGTTGGTGTGCATGATCACATTGCCGCCATTTATTTAGTTTATTTAGTTTATTTATTTAGTTTATTTTTTTAGTTAAATGTCAACAGAAAACGCGAGCAAAAATTGTTCTGGTGTGCACGGGCCTTTAATGTTTACTTTCCTGCCATGGGTTGATTAAACACTCTTAGCCTAAATAAAATTAAAGTGAAATATTCACAGTTTCAGAGGAGCCTATAATAAACAGTTTTCATTTTTAATTTAATTAGTTTCAATATAATTAGTTTAATCAAGTAATTTGAATAAGCAAGACAAGCTTTTACAATGTATTAGCAGCACTGAACGTGTTTCCAGATTACCTCGGAAGAACAAACTCAGTTGGAAGGCTAAGAGAACTAAAAAAAAAATCATTGTGAGAATGGAGATGTCTGCATATTTGTGCCAGTCTGTCATTGAAAATTGCTTAAAACAATTTGATATTTTAGAGAAAGTAGTTAAAGTTTGCATAACGAATGATTGATCCTATCCACCCAAGACTCACCTATAAGTAAATATGCAGCCTATTTTTTTGATTACCTGACCCACGAATTAGCGGCAGCACTCACAGATATAAATAAGAAATGATGTGCTCTTATTGTCCAGTGTCACTCAAAAAGTCGTGAAGATCAGAGAAAAAATGCCCACGACGCTTACATGCCATTTGTCGCTTACGACTCCCCATGACACCATATGGCAAGGAAATCATGCCGAAATCGAGACAGATTCGTGTGATCTGACCAGGGCTTTAGACTTGTTTTTTTAAACAACATTTTTTTTTTTTGTGTAAAAAAAACTTACTCTCCTTCTTGTGAAAGTGAAAATGAAAGTGAGCCATGGATATTTGCGGGTGGTCTAGTAACTCTAGTACACATTTATATGCTGTATTACTAAAAGGATCATGTTTTTAAGGTAATAACATCGTAAAATATGATGACCGACCTTTAAAGTTTAATTGTAATATCTTAATAGCAGCTTTAAATGTAAATAGGTTGTGACAATATGATGTCTAATATATAATAAGGGTCAATATGACTGCTATGTTTAACACTGGAACTGCCGGAAATTACCAATCTAAGATTTTATAGCAGATTCTGATCTTTTAATTATGATAACTGATCTCTGGCTAATTTGGATTTGCAAATCAGATTAAGATATCTGGAGGATTTGATCTGAGACGATTACGGCTTGTGTGGTGGTCTGTGTTTGTTGTGAAGAACAGATCTATTGATTCTCAAAATCATGATCATCAATGCTGCGATAGGCTGCGGCAGCAAGACAGCAGAATAATTACATCATCTGATTACTACTCAATTATCAGCCATGTGAGCAAAATCACATACAATTGGTTGTAAATTAAATGGTTGGTTAGATGATAAGCAGTAATTATCCACAATTGTTGTAGGCTATTTGTACAGGCTTTAGACTTTCTTGTGTCGATTTTCGTTTTAAGAGTGGATTTTTCATGTGGCATAATACAAGTTTCTTATGCCCAATCCCAATTCTACCCCTTAGCCCTTCCCCTTACCCCTACCCCTCATTTAGCATGTTCTTGCAAAGAGGTAGGGGTGTCCCAATTGTTTTTAGCTTCAAGGCGTAGGGCTAACGTTAAAGTTAAACCCATCTCTCGGAAACATCCCCACACACTCATTCACACTCATACACTATGGACAATTTAGCCTACCCAATTCACCTGTTCCACATGTCTTTGGACTGTGGGGAAAATCGAAGCACCCAGAGGAAACCCATGCGAACTGAGGGAGAACATGCAAACTCCACACAGAAACGCCAACTGACCACGCCGAGGCTCGAACCAGCAACCTTCTTGCTGTTAGGCGACAGTATTCAATTCAATTCAGCTTTATTTGTATAGCGCTTTTACAATGTAGATTGTGTCAAAGCAGCTTCACATAAATGGTCATAGTAACTGGAACAGGGTAGTTCAGTTTTTATTGTTTAAGTTCGGTTCAGTTTAGCTCAGTTCAGTGTGATTTGAAATCATTACTGAGAGTTCAAACACTGAAGAGCAAATTCATCGATGCGTAGCTCTACCAATCCTGAACCATGCGAGCCAGTGGCGACAGCGGAGAGGGAAAAAAAACTTCACCTGATAGGAGTGAAGAAAAAAAACCTTGAGAGAACCAGACTCAGTTGGGCACGACCATTTTAATTTCTCCGCTGGACAAAAGTCTTGTGCAGAGCTTCAGTCACCGCGGTGGAGGCTGGAAGATGGCCTCAGCAAAGACTCGTCTGTCCCTAGAGCGTCGCTGGAATCAGACTCATGTTCTCCACTCCCCATGACCATCAGCGCAGCAGCAGCTCAGGATATGGCCTGGTCCCGGATATGGAAACCTTGGGATCATCTCGTCGCTGGTCTTGGATCCAATCAGTGACTCTGCATAATCTGAGGACCTCGGGATGAGTATCCCCAGGTGAAAATAGAGAATAAAGACAATAATTAGCGTAGCTGCTGTTCATAGTGTATATAAACAAGATGCAGAAGCCTGTGTGGAACCCGCTAGGTGATGCATTGAGTGTATGCTTTACTAAACAGATATAGGTCTTTAATCTAGTTTTGAACTGGGCGAGTGTGTCTGAGCCTCGGACGTTATCAGGAAGGCTATTCCAGAGTGTAGGAGCCATGAAAGAGAAGGCTCGACCTCCTTTACTCGATTTTGCTATTCTAGGTACTACCAGAAGCCCTGAGTTTTGAGATCTTAAAAAGTACTGTGCCACTGCATTGCCAAGTAAGAAGTTTATGGAGGCAAATTTCATAATTAATTCTTATTAATAGCAAGAATTGCACCTTAAATTAAAGTGATACCTAAAAAATGGACTCATTTCTGAGAACCAGTTTTTGATCTCCAGTCCTGTTAGGACACGGTACAAATAGGTATATTGTTTGCTTATGGATTATATCAGTGACTTGCTACTTATGCAACGCCTAATCTGTGTTTGTGTGCACTGAGTGAATGTCTGTGTTACCGAGCAGTGCAGGTGGGAACTGTTCATATTTGTGGTTGTACTCTATGTGCATGTGTTCAGATGAGTGGGTGTTCCAAAGCTAATAGAAAAGATGAGATGGCAGAGATTTATCTTTCATATTTGATTTTCACCTCACGTAGCACGACAAATCTTTATTGGATTGCATTTTGTTATCCTCTAATCTTTCTCTCATTCAA